GGAGAGTGTCCATAACTGTGATCTCGTAAAAGAAAGAGCTTGTGGTTCCTTTCAGCAAAGGTCAGGAGAAAGGTTTGTGTACCGTTTGTAGAGCGTTGTTTATTGTGTCTCATTAATATTACTGCTAAAAACAAATAATGCAGTGTTTGAGATGAATAATAATCTAAATCCAAAAAACAACAATATTAATATTATAATATAATATTATATTACACTTTACACATTATATAATATTATGCACAACATGTTATCTATGGAGACAGAAATTTTCAGTCTTTTCCACCTTTGCACGCCTTTTTCATTAATTCAATAAATTCAACTCAAACATCATTGTCACGCCAAAGTAAATAGAAAATTGTTGTTGTTTCCTGGTGTGTGCAAACACAATTGTCATTTTTGAATCTGTCATTTGTCTAATGTGCCGAATCCTCGCATTCTTCAGACGCAGTGGAAACGCTAGCAAGCATGTGCAACCGAGCCTTTTTAGCTGCTGAGTTTAGCTCTTGTGGTTTCATAGTTTCTGAAACAGTTTGATTGAAAGGGAGGAATAATATAAGACTGGCGCAAGCTTGTCTCTGCAGGTTTATTTTAATTGGAAGTTTAAATCAGTGGGAAGCATTTATATTGTCTGCAATTAAAAATAAAAAAACAATCTAAACATTTGAGAACTAGCATCATTGTAAAATATGTCTCATTTGTAGTAAATTGCCTCGTCTTGCTGTTGGCACACTTTCCCCCTCTTCTTTACTGGGAAGGATTTGGAGTAAGTGATGAGTAGCTTTTTCTCTTGTTAACATTCCTAAATAGCCACATCGCTTTCTGTAATGTCATCATACATATTAGCATGGTAGCCTGGCATTTGCACTTACAGGTTTTGAAGTAATATAATGTTCCCATCTGAAAGTGAAGCGACAGAGGCTTGACTTGGAGAGAGTGGGAGAGAGGAATTGTGATAGAGAGAGAGAGAGAACAAGCGAGAGAGATGACTTTCAGTGATCAACAGAGCCAGACTTTTTGCTGGAAGTGTTGTAATGATGAGCTTGGACCTGCTGATGAGACTGTATCTTGGGTTCGTCACCAAAGGCCACTGTGGGTTAATAATGTCCCCTCGAGATGGTACATGAACTGTCCTGTTACGACACACACACACACACACACACACACACACACACAGACTTTGAGCTGAATACACACTTACTCAGACATACCCACACACAGTACACGGTGACAGTTCCCACATAAATAAGAAACCAGCTGGAGATGTTATAATCAGCAATCTTTCAATAACAGACGCAAACAAATGGTCATGAAAACAGCAAAGATAGAAAATGATTTCATTATTTAAGTATTTAGCAACAGTGTGTAGAATACATGAAAAAGTAAAAAACAATGCAAACATTCTGCATAATGCACATTAATTCATAAGAAATGTGTAAAATCTCTGTTTTGACAGATGAAATCATGGATACAAAGTCAAAGCAGCAGTACGTGCCTGTTCGGTCGGGCTGCATTTAGTGTTTCTGCCTAACAATGACACCACAGCATCCCTAAATGTCATGCACCACCTCACTCATTAGTTTATGCCTGAGCAAACTTCCTCCTTTTTTTATTTTTATTTTTTCATCCTGTGCGGCGTTCTGGGAGGCCTCCTTCTCATTTGCCTCATTGCCGCCAGGGTAAGTAATAACCAAAGAGCAAGAATGACAAATACAGATTAAAATGAATTCTTGGCTGAGAGAAAATGTTTCTGCAATAATATTGTTTCCATCGTTATTCCCCTTTGTTTCATAGTTGCTTGTTGTATGTACAGTGCCTATAAAAAGCATTCACCTCCCTTGTAAGATTTAATGTTTTTATAATCTTACATTTAATCAGCAGATTTAACATGGCTTTGTAATTCTCAGTAGCAGGAAAAAAAGAAGCTTCAATGAAAACAGGTCTCTCTTTTGCAGCAATTAACTGCCGCGAATCTGTCTGTGCACTGCCATTTTGCCCATTACCAGGACACACCTAAATTATCACTGGTGCAGGTAATTGGTTTAAGAACCAGTTAAATTCGGATCAAAGCTGTTTCATTTAAAAAAGTACTTTTTTGGCCATCAGACTAAACACCATGTTGCACATTATCATAAACATACCACCATGAAGTATGGCGGTGGCAGCATTATGCAGTAGGGATGTTTCTCTGCAGCAGATCGCCTTTGTGTCGTCAGGGGGTTTCAAGCGTGTGAGGGTAGAGGGTAGCGTGAAAATATAGGGAAATCCTGCCGTTCAGATGTCACACGGATCAAGAGATTGTGGCTGGACTTGAAAAAGGCTGTTCACTCACCACCCCCATGCAGCCTGACAGAGCTCAAGAGCAACGAGAATGGGGGGAAAAAATATTGTCCGCTCGTTGAGACCTATCCACACAGCGCAGACTGACACTCTTTTCAGATAGATCTTTATTGCCATTGCATGCGTTCATACAGCAAATCTCGCAATCTCATCTAATTAGCAGCCTAGAGTAACAAATAAAATAGATTGCACAGGGGTCATTGGTGCACAGTGTCATTTATTGCACTTAAGCCACATTCTTATACATTATCTATAAAAGATATTTAAATATAAAATGTAAAATATTCTTAAAATATGAAAAGAAAATGATATTAAAAATACATATACAATATATATATATATAGGGAGCAGTGAAACAATGAAAACACAGAAGTTGTTGTTATGTTGTGTGTAGATGTGTGCGTGTGTGCAAGGGAGGGATAAGTGGCGGTGGTAGCTCTGGGGAAAAAACTGTTCCGTAGCCTGTTAGTGCGTGTTCCTGGGGTTCTCAGACTGCCTGGGTTGGAGGGTGGTGGAGGGTGATGAAGGGGTTTCCGGGCGTTTAAGGAGACGGCTGCACTGGATGTCCCACAGTTTTGGGAAGGGGAAGCCGATAATCCTCTCAGCCGTCTTCACAACCCGCTGCAAGTCTTTTTTTGTCTGCAGCAGTTCACCTGGAATACCACACAGTACAGCTATATGTCAAGACACTTTCTACAGTGCAGCGGTAGAAGCTGGTCAGCAGATTCTGGGGAAGCTTGTTACGTCTCAGGGTCCTCAGGAAGAACGGTCTCTGCTGGGCTCTCTTGATGATGTAGGTTGTGTTCAGGCTCCAGGTTAGGTTCTCATGAATATGTACTCTCAGGAACTTCAGACTAGGAACTCTCTCCACCTCCTCTCCATTGATGCACTGACCATTGTGGGGTGTTTTTTTTACTTTTCCTGAAATGTATTATTAACAGATAGATGATGGATTAATTCAATTATCTCGTTGTGTCCTCTTCTTCTGCAATGGTTTAACGCCACGTCCTAAATGTTGATGGAAACAGGACTGATAAAACAAGCAAACTGTGTGCATTTCCAGTGAGGCCTCATTTGCCTTTATATTTTAGAGACTCTGTAATCTAAGGGTAGACTACAATAACCTATCATTCACTTGTCTCATTGTTTTCTGGTATTGCAATTGATCAGCTGGCTTGAGATTTATTTTATTTCAAGGAGGTTGTGCAATTTCTGAATGACATTCTTTCCTCTTGCGCAGACAGTGATTGTTTCCTATCGGACTTGTGTGACGCCCTGTGGGGTCATGAGTGGGTGTGGCCTGTCTCTCTCTCTCTCTCGCTCTCTCTCCTTGTAGAGGAAGAGCTGATTGCAGTAACTCTGGGCACCTGGGCTAATTGCCCTGTAGAGTATTTGGGACTGTCTCCTCATTCTGCAAGGAGGCTGCTGTTGAAGCCAGTTCATACCTCCCTGTGAGCCGGCTCCCTGGTTTCCCCTTTAGTTTGGTTTTTGTTGGTTGGACTATTGCTTTGTGGTATTTATCTTGTTTTTGCATATTACAACACCTTCACACATACGTTCATGCAACCATCATCCTACACAGACACTACTGAAACCACAGACTACATACATCATACTTTATGTTACATTATATTAGTTTGAAATACCTCTTAAATTGGTTAACTTTGGTTCAAATAAACATATTTCGTTAAACTTTTACCGTGGTGTGTCTTTTGTTGTGGCCCTTTGAGCCAAGTCAAAATACTTGAGATCGTCACTGGACTGGTGAAACAATGGTGGCTGTTGTCAAAAGTGTGGGCCTAAGCAGTAGTCGTGTTGTGCAGTGCAAGATTTAAGAGTCCAGGGACCCGCTTATCTCTCTGTCCACATCTGCAGGGCTGGATTACCAACCACGCAAAACAGGCAACTGCCATGGGACCCTAGAGCCCCAGGAGCTAATTTTGCTCAGACAACAACCTACTGCTCAATGTCAGGAAACCAAGGAGCTGATTGTTGATTTTAGGAAGAAGGAGATAAAGACACACACTCCTGTCTACATCAGTGGTGCTGAGGTGGAGCAGGTGAACAGTTTCAGGTTCCTGGGAATCAGCATCACAGAGAACCTGACACGGTCGTCTCACATCTCCACGCTGGTGAAGAAAACTCAGAAACAACTGAATTCCTTGAGGAAGCTGAAGAAGGCCAAATTCCCCTGCCAAGTTCTTGTCAGCTTTTACAGAAGAGAAATAGAAAGCATCCTGACTGGAAACATCACACACTGGCATGGGATGTGCAGCGGGTGATTAAAACTGCCCAGAAGATCATTGGTACCCATCTACTGAGCATCAGTGATATCGGTGAGGTGAGGTGCCCACGCAGAGCCCAAAGGATACTAAAGGACAGTACCCACCCAGCCACAGCCTGTTCACCCTGCTGCCTTCTGGGAAGAGATATAGACGTTTCTGCTGCCGCACCACCAGACTGCAGAGCAGCCTTTTCCCCCCAAGCTTTATTTGAATCTTTATTAAGGTTTACTGTCTGCTATGTAGCAAAAGGGAGTTACAAAACTCAATTTCACTGTAAAATGTGTTGTATTGTGACAATAAAATCTACCTACCCATGAAATAAAGCATTAACTGTGATCGTCTGTATATAAAATGGGTTCTATTTCCTGTCATCCACAGGGTGTAGGTGCTGACCCCCACATTGCCTTGGCTCTGCCCCCCGATTCCAAGCACGCCAAAGAGAAAGCAGAGGAGCCCTCGTTCCAACTCTTGGACACTGATGAGATGACCATCAGGATAGGTAGAGCTGGACCTCTCTCAGGCAAGCCTCCCTTCATATACCCACATCAGCTGTTACAGTTTGTGCTAGATTTCAGAAAAAACGGGAATATTACATCATCAGCTATATATATATATATATATATATATATATATATATATATGCAAGCATCTACGGGGGTAGCCTTTGTTGTCCCACTTTTCTTTGAACCAATGGGAAAATCAAGTTTCAGGCACCAGAAAGCTATATGAATGGTGTCACACAGATGCAGAATTCTAAAAATGCTTTAACATCGATTACATTGGCTACCACTGTAAAATCTCATCTGGAGCTTCTCTGATGGTTTCTTTTTACTGTCCTGAGTTTTCCCTTTTTTCCTGCTACCTCATCTGTCCATCTCTAATACTTATTGGGTGATCTCCTATCTTTCAGTGCTCTTCCATTCTGGATAGCTCTTAAGACGTGAACCTGTGTGTTTTCTTTGCTTCGGGACACAAACCTTCCTGCATGCTATTATCTCTCACAGTACAATTTCATGTTGTCACACTCGTCCAGACTGTTTCAAAAACACTTTTATTGACATAGATTTGGAGAGTCTGTAAGGGAAGATCATTTTGTGCTTGTGACAGAGAAACTAATAAACACATCTCATCTTCCAACAAATCAAAGAAAGATTATATGGCGTGATGGGCAATCACACGCAAACTGCATACGTGACAAAAGAGTGCAACATGGTGGAGCATTATAAAACACATAAATGCAGCAAAACAAATCACATAAAGTGGAAAAATAGATTTATTTAAAAAGAGACCACGTAAAGGTAACTGGCGTTTGGCTGTGTGTAATCACGCTGGTCATGTTAGTTTATGAGAGATATATCAACATTGTTTTCTCTCCTCATTTTACCTGCTGACTGTCTCTCGGTATGCAGATTAAATCCAGGCACAACAGTGACTCTGTTATTTTTGTTCTATACAATTAGATAAAAGGACTAGAAAATATTTTTTTGCCTGGTAACAAGACGTGACAAGGGGGAAAATGATGCGTTGTTGTCTTTTAGTTCCTCCATCGTCAGAGCTACATGGACCCTCGTGGGGAAATCAAATTCCGGTGACTGACAGCAAGTGAGGCGGTACTTACGGGTTTATTTATCTTCTCTGGTGACACAAAGAGCTCCCAAAGAAATAACTGATTATTAGTCAAGACTAAAACTTGTTTTATGAAGAGTTGCAACCAGGTAGAAAGTCCAAAAGTACACAGAGTAGGACACAAGCACAATATGCAGGTGGTTTTATCGTTAGCTTAGCTTTTCATGCTAAAATCACTGCTTTGCTTATACACAGTAAATCTACCACACGCTTGGAAGCAGACCAAGACTTTCCATTTCATGTGGTCTTGTTCTGGTCATTTAGTCCACACCACAGTTTGACTGCTTTCACAACAGCCCAAACAATCCAAATCAAATGGGTAAACACACCAGTGGTCAACTGAACTTTAACAGGTTAGGTGTATAAACTAATAGGGAATTCACTAGTGCCTTCCTTCCACCCACTGTGCATGTACAGTAACCCTGGAGTCTGGCACTGTGTGCACCAGAATTATTTCATCACATACATTTATTTCTTTATTTTACAGAGGTAGTGAAGATATACAAGAAAGCCAGGGGAGAGAGAGGGGTTGACCGGCAGCAAAGGACTCTACCTTGATACGTTGTACATGCTCCACCAAGGCGAGCCACTGGGCCTCCTGTTAGATAAATACATAAATAATTTAAGGACGCTGGAGTTCCTTCATGTTACTAAGCTCAAAACAAAATAATTCACCCTTATTGGATATTCTCGATGTAGCACAAACTTAACACCTCTTCTGACTTGCATTTTATGTGGAGGGCATGGATGGAAAAACTGTAGCAGAAGGAACCTGCGTGCAAAAGAAACAGAGCTTTTGTCGTAGCAGATATGTTGACCTGTCACAGTAAGAAAAACACAAGTGGTGCTAAGTAGGGATGCAACGATTACAGATTTTTGTCAGAGAAATAATCACGGTTTCACGATTATTATGCATCAATTCATTTAACAACACCAGCAATGACTTAAGTTGATTTTTAATATTTAATTACATTAACAATTATATTTTTATAATATGTAAGTATTATTAATATAAGAGGAATGTTAACTTCTATCCCTCAGGGGAAATTCTTATAAAGGAGGGGAATGAACTGTTCTGTTACTGTCATCAACTCTCATCCATACATATGTTTTAGTGAAAATGATAGCAAGACATTGAGTGTAGTGTTAACTGAAATGCAGTTAATTGGTAGCCTATAGTCCTGAAAGTCTATAAGATCCTGATGTTATGTTACACAGACAGGGAAAGACAATATGATTTAACGTTAAATGTTCAGTGACTGAAGGTCTTGTGAGGACTACGTTCTGTTATCCATAAAACCCCTTTCAGAAAAGAAGCGATTTGCAGTGCGTGGAAGCTTTTTGGCACTAAAGTTCAACTACTTTGACTGTGGCGTGCACGCAATCTCACGGTGCGGTGCACGTTGCTCGACGCAGCAACAAAAATAACGGGCCTCAATGCTGTTGTTGGCGGGTCTGAAAAGTTACATTCTGCTTTGTTTGTTTACATTGCACTTAAAGCTCGAGTCTCACTGCCACAGCATCGTTTGTAAGTGACACATTTATATTTTATTCCCTACCAACTTGCTACGTTATTTAAAATAATGTACAACGTTTTAAAGCGCGGTTAATAGTGAAATCCGGTAATCGCTTTATCCCTAGTGCTAATAACATTGACCTGGCTCTGTTCCAATCAGTTCCAAATCAGTTGTCAAAATGCTGGATGATAGTTGTGCTTTAGGATCCACTAATCGAGGAGGAGAAAAGCCTGGGTTGTGTTAGGTGAGGGATTCCCCAGAAGGTAAATGTAAACATTACCGCAGTCGAGCGGCAGCAGGGACCTGGTGGCTTTTAACGGTAGAAATGCAGCAGCAGATGCTGTAACGTTATATGGCTCGGATATGCCCAACACTTGCAGTTTGTCTTAATATCTTTCTGTTTGTTAAATTGAAAGTTGATCCAAATAAAAATTTGACTGTTGTTTTGCTCTCCAGGTCACCGTGCATGTCACATGACTCATTACTATGAATAGCAGGGCTAAACAATGTGCACGCCTAAATTTAATTCCGCCATCATTAATGTAATTAGTTGCACCTGTGATTTTCCTGCTGACATGCAGTACTGTCTGTTGGGAAAAAGGCCTTTTTGCTTAGTGCAGACACAAGTGACAACATTAGCATTGCTAATTACAATCAGCACAGGTGGAAGATTGAGTTATTTTTTGGTCAGTAATTCCTAGGTGAATGCGTATGCCATCTGAGTCATTTTATCTGAGTCATCCCTCCTCTTCATTTCCATTGCTGCCACAGTGGCCTCACATCTGTCGTGACAATTTTATAATGATGATAATGACATTTTTCCATTGTTGTAAATCTCAGAGGAGTTTGGTTGATGTAAGGACTGTTATCAGGTGGAGCTTCTGAATGTTAGATCTGAAGAAAAGTCTTCACTTGAGTCTCGAGTTGCTTCGATGTTATTTTCAGGGACACATCACAGTTCGCAGCTGGAGGTGCTCACCTGAAAAACAAGACAAAGGCAGAAAGAAAACTATGAAAGTGCTTCAAGTTTGCACTCAGACCAAAAAGGAATAAGTGGCATATTCATGAGCTGATAGAATGCATTGTTCTGAAGAGCTAAATTTCTAAACCCTTGAAAAATAATTTCTTTTTTGAGAATGCTATCATTTCAGTAGTGTGAACCACAGCCGTGAACCCCAGCTTTCCTTATTGTTTACAGTGATGGTACATTCCCTGCAGCTCTGACTTTAAATGAAATGTATATTTCAGACGACATTCTGCGGATTAGTTACATATTCACTGTATCCCTGTGGCTTGCATAAGGGTACCCGAAGCAAGTCGACCAACACAGTACACGGAAAAGAGCACATCTATATAAATAAGCCTCTTGGGGGTCACATTGCATTATACAGTAAGTTACCGCATGTTTGACTCTGCTGTTCACCATATCCAATCTTCTTTACACAGAGAAATCTGAAAGTAGAGAGTTGTATTTTTTAGTGCCTGTGTAGCTCACTCTATTATGCAGTTTTATCCATCAAAAAGAGTTAATAATTAATCGAGTCTCGCAATAAACAGCTCCAATAGAACAATTGTTCTGTTTTCTACTTTACTAAGCCCTTGATTTAAGACAGATGTACAAAAAAACAGGCCTCTCATTTTCAGCCGATGACCACCAACTTTCTCGGCTGTAATGACATCTTTCACAAGCAGATTTTTTTCAGCTGTAGCTAGCTGAAGCTAATTTTAGCATCATGAGGTGGTTGAAAACACTCTCTCATGTTCATGTTTCTTTTAATACGAGACCTCCAAAGGGTTCTTAAATATGCACATTACCAGTTAAGCTGCTTAGCTTACTTGGACAAGCAAGACCGTAGATTTATGCTATATTGAATTTTCAAAGGTTATTGTTTTAACTTTTCAAATGTAGGGCTATCATGCATGACAGGTTTGGCTGAGATTACTTTGGTCTTAACTTCCTCAAATCAGAGCAGATGGAGCCGCTAACAGCTGCAGTCTGATATAGTAGCATCTAGGTCCAACTTCCACACAGTGGGGAAAAACTAGCTACACAGGCTATCTGCTATCAGGCTTTTTATTAATGCAACCCGTAAACTTTTAAAATAATGTGCTGGCCTTGGAAGTAAGGATGGGTTATGACACTATTGTAGGTAGTAAGCAAGTTAGCTGGAAATGCTAATGTTTGCAGCTTAAAGAAGACAAACACACTGTTTATTCTTTTCCTTACACTGTTGCGGCTGTATTTTCAGTTTTGGAAAGGAAACCGCCTTCCCAACTCTATATATACACAAGGCCCTATTTAAATGATCTATAGGGCATGGTCTGAAGTGCATGGTGCACGTGCATTCAGGGGGTGTCAAGGTCCACTTATCATTTA